AGAGCCATGGATAGACACTCCTTGGTCCACAGTTGGCCTCTTCTAAGGCTGAGAAAGCACTTCATTTTCTTCATTTACCTGCTTATTCATTGCCATGAACACTACTGGTTGTTCATAATATGTGAATATATACAATTTTAAAATAAAAAAAAGATCTGTCAAAACATAGGGATGAGTCATGAAAAAGACTGCTCATTAAAATGAGCTCTCTCAGGTAGGTGAGAAAGCCTTGGGGATACCCCTCTTATACATCACTGAAAGGTCAGAGAACACCGCATTCCTCACAGGTGGCCCCTGTGGCCAGAGACCCATCTTCAGGGCACTCGCACCTCTGCATAGAAGGCACCCTATGGATGAGACAATCACTGGAACAACACCACCAAACATTAGTGGAATCATGCATCCTTGCTTTTTTAGTTCAGAAAACATGCAGTGTATGTGTTCTGTCTCAGAAAATGTCACAAATTGGCAATAAGAAACTGAGAATCACTGAGGAGAAAGAAATATTTGTGCACCTGAAAGGAAAACCTTGTGTTTAGAGTTAACATCACATTTTGACAACACATTGATCAGGTCAGTATTAAACACAAGCTATCTCCAAATGACATTTACCATTTAACACACACACACACACACACACACACACAACCATCCACATAGTAATTCACACAAATGTTAGTTCTAACTAACATTGAGTTAGTTAGGTCTTAACTTCACTTAACTTCACTCATATATCCTCCATAATGACTGATGCTACATCGAGGGATGATAAGTTAATGTATTGGAGTTAGTATATTTATACACAAAAGCAAAGACCATGTGACAATACTGATATGAAATCATAGAAAATTCAAGATATCAGTTATAATGAGACAAATAAGACCCATACTGATGGTTATATTCCACAATGGATGCAAAACAACCAAGAATCTGAATGTATCAAATATCAAAATTAAATACACAAAATGAAAACTGTTTAGAAAATAGAGAAAGTGGCAAAAACACAACTACTTTGAAAGAGACACATTTCTGAAGGCTATGACAAGTGACAAAAATAAAGATGGAAAGGCCTTACACATCAATAACAAAAGAAAAGGCATCAGAAAATGGTCAAAGAATAGGAACTAACAATTCTGAAAACAAGAAATGAAGTAGCCAACAAGCATGGAAACATGACTACGTTCACACTCCCTAGGAATCAAATATAATAAAGCAGTAATCCTTTTTTCTACCAGGTTGACAATTATGTTTTCAAAAACAGGATCCAGAGAGAATGCAACTACTTCATGTAACCATGAAAGGAATACAAATTGGTTTTCAGACATCACATAAAAAGTCTTTATCTCTACCTTTCCACACCTCTTCTCCCAATGTTATTTATAAGGCATAAGGTAGAAATTGCACAGCATTAAATTTGAAATGGCATCAGTTCTTGGTGCAAAGGACTTGGGTTTCAGAGGCAGAAGACACAGTTCTTCTCTTCCTTGAAATGGCACCCGAATAGATCAATTATCCAACTTCCACCTGAAATAATGGCAGCCATACCCACTTCTTACAGCTCCTGTGAGGCAGCATTATGAAAATCATGGAGGAAAATCACTGTGACAGTCAGTCATACTTGGCAAACATTGGCTACTGGCAATTGGGTTTCTTACAAGGAATTGTTTAAGTAATTGAGGAGCATCTATTGAGTGTCCCAAATGGGACATCTGTATCTGCTCAGATCATTTCACATGAGTTCTAATTTTCAAGTTCAAAGTTTAGAATAAAATATGACTAAAATCCTGCACATGCATTTTCACTATGACAGACTCTGAAAATGAACTTTAATGACTCCAGTCAGAGAGCTCTCTAAACAATGGTTGAAATATGTCAAGGAATTTAAATTCTTTTTTTAAAAAAATATTTTTTATTTATTTGAAAGAGAGTTACAGAGAAAGGTAGAGACAGATAAGTCTTCCATCTGCTGGTTCACTCCCTAGATGGCCGCAACAGCTGGAGCTGTGCCGATCTGCAGCCAGGAGCCAGCCAGGTGTTTCTCTTGTGGGTCTATGTCAGTGCAGAGGATCAAGGACTTGGGCCATCTTCTACTGCTTTTCCAGGCCATAGTAGAGAGCAGGATTGGAAGAGGAACAGCCAGCACTAGAACCAGCGCCCATATAAGGATGCCAGCGCTTCAGGCCAGGGCTCTAACCCACTGTTCCACAGCACTGGCCCAGAATTTACATTCTTAATTCAAGTTAGAAACACACACACACACACACACACACACAAAGAAAAGTCTTCCAACTTCCTTAACTATAACCCCAACCTGTAGCCCTCTGAACCCTGATGTAATTCCCTGAAATTCCTAGTGGCAGATCAGTCTAGGCTCCATCTCTGGCACCCTCCACATAAAAGCAGAGATCACTTCCAAACCTAAGGATCACTAAGTAGGCTCTGTAACTCCACAGCTCCACACCCACTGCATTTACCCTGAAAACACAGGAAAAGACACTCAAATGATCTTTCTGGCCCAGAAGCCAGGCTTCATATTCCAAGCTCCCTGCTACATCCAATGCCACCTTACACTGTGCTCGCACAGCAATGTTATACAGACATCTGGATAACTCATACTGCATTAGTGTTTTTTATGTCTAGCACTTTGAAAATTCTAGATTTTTTTTAATTACAGAAATTTTAGGACATATCCTAAATTCTACTGTCATCAAAGTAAATACAATAGAATCCGGAAACAATCTGCTTACAATGATTAACTCATGACCAACTCTAATTTAATAACACCCACCCAGGCTCACAAACCCAAGAAACTACACACCCCAAATTATTTGAAGCAAATCCCATACTTAATATCATTTCATCTGTAAATGTACTCCTAAATATTTCTTGAAAAGACAAAGACCCTTTAGAAACATAACAACATTACTAGTGTCACCTTGAATTTCCTTAATAATACCAAATTATCAAGTATCTAATTAGTATTTACATTTTTTCAATTGTCTACTAAACTCTTTATAGCTGTATTATCTGGGTCTAAACACAGGCCCTCATAGCAATTGGTTAACAATGTTTACAGCCTTAAATTTCTAAATCGCTTGTAATTCCTAGGTTTCTACTCTTTTCTCTTTTATAAAGTTTATTTCAATGAAAACAAGTGATTTTTTTTTACAGAGTTTCCAACAAACAGAATTTTGTTGACCACAACCCCATGTTCCTCCATCCTCTGGACTTTCTTTAAGAATTTCTATCCTGTTCAGGTTTGGTTCTTTGGCAAGAAATGTGCAATTGGTGCTTTCACCAAGAGGTAAATTACATTTGCCTGTTCTTCCTTTAGATATTTTCACAATCTCTGATGATCAATGTCTAGATTCTACACATTCCCTCACTAGGAGCTGGAAAATCAGGATATAATCATTCTACCACCCTGCACCACTTACTAGCTAGGATAGAATATGTATTATCCTCTTCCAATCATCATTCTTCATCTATTAATGGGGATAAAATATCTTTTATAAAACAGAAATTTCCCCTTAACAACTATTTGTTTACCTTGATATACAGCACAAACAGAGAAAATATAATGAATGTTTTATCTTTCCCTTTACTTTCCTGATCATAAAGTACATCTGTTCTTGACCATTCCCCAAAAAAGAGATAATTTTAATCATTATTATGAACTCATGAATTTAAAGCATTGATTCAACTGCAGTTCTCAAACAATTATAATTTAGTAAAGTAAATATGCTATGTTTCACAGACTATGTCATAAAATACCCATCTAACTCACACATCTTAGACAATTGACACTGTGTCTCCTTGAGTTCATGAGCTCAAATACCCAAAGAAAACAATGAAAGAAACATTTTGATATTTCTTCTCTAATCACAGTTGTACAGAGTAAACTGAGATCATTAGCACGATTATTTAATGAATGCTTAAAGATTCAAATTAAGCAGCCAAGGAAGAAAGGGGTAGAAACACAAAGCAAGATGGATACCTCTAATCTTACACCAGAATAAATTCTATTTGCATCAAAGACTTAAATGTACAACAATGAAATGAAAAATTAGAAGACACTGGAGGGACTGTTTTTGGTCTTCTTGATGTTCAACATTGCAGAGTCAAAAGACCAAGATATAAACCTAATTGTTATAAAATAAAAAGCTATAAATTCAATTGTATAACAATATTTCTGCATAGTAAACGTGGATTTAAAAATGTCATAGACAAGCAAGAAGTAATATTATCCTGTTAAAATAGCTAATCTCTCTGAAATAACTAAACAGAAAAAAAACAACAACTCAATAGAAAAATGGAAAGGATAAGATGGTCACAGGAAAAAAAAAAAGCATTTGTGTGACAGCAGGTTAAAGTGGGTCCTAAATCCTCAGGGAAAAACAAACAAAACAGGGAAAACACAGCTAAAAGACATGGGAAAGTGTGTGTGTGTGTGTTTGTGCGCACGCACGCGTGCGTTATGACCCTGAAAATACAGCCTATATGACCAAGACAATAAATCAACTCAACAATAGTGACCTGCAGCATTATTAATATTTTTGCCAATTATTTTTAAGTGAAACAAAAGAAATCTCTTTATATGCATTTATAAAAACAACTTCACGCTTTATTAAACACCAAGTATCCTGTCTTCTGAACCTTTTCATAATTTCTAAAATGAGAATTAAGTCTACCTCCTCCACAATTTCCCTCAGGTCCAAATAAAATGCTCCTAGAAAGAGTTCAGGCAAAGGCTTGACTCTGAAGTCACTGGTAGTCAGATGCAGATCATTCCTATTCTCCTAAAAGGCACACCATCCTGACAACGAATGAGCAAAATGACAAAGGCCCATTTCAATGAACCCAAACAGGTAACAGCACTTGAAGACTGCAATCTCCTCCATGTTTCATATTTTCTGACTTTTGATTTAGAAATTGAAGGACATGTTGCACTTTTCCCTTCCTCCCTTTCTTCCTCCTCCCGCTCTCCACACCCCACTTACTCCCTTTTGTGGAGACCCTTGGGGCCTTCTCAACTCCTTGCCATGCAAGTGGCAAAACAGATAAGCTGCAACAAACAGAAGAGGGAAATTCCAGAGACTTCACAGAGCCCCTCCTCTTCTGCCAACTGCCTTCTACACCCGCCCCACCACAGTGGCAAATTCCCTACTAACCAGAGAAGACCCGAGTCCCAAATCTGAACGGACTGTCCCAACCTCTCTGCCTCCAGTAAAGCAACCTGGCTCTGTGGAGGTCCTCTCCGTCTCCTTGTCCTGTCTCTCCTCTCTGGGGCTACAAAAGGCCAGAGCCCAGAGCTCTTCCAGACCTAACAGGAATGGAGAACGGAAATGATTTCACAAACTGTCCAAACCCCAACATCTGCCCTAGACAAACAAGCAGACAGGTGTCACCGGGGGCTCCAGGGGTGCCTCCAGGAGAGGGCCAAGCCCTGAAGGGACCCTTCTCAGGTACCCGAGGTTCTCGCAGGTGCGGTCTCCACAGGGAGGACAAGGCCCCGTGAGGTCCCCTAGTGCCCCGGGTCCCACTCCCAGACAGGCCCCGCCTTGCTCTCCCTGCCACAAGGACCCCGCACGCAGGACGCCCTCGGCCTTCGGTGTGGCCCACAGCCCCGGGAAGAGGCAGGCCCGGGTTCCGTGCGCGGGTCCGAGAGCCCATGGACACAGGGCCACAAGCCTGGCAGCCAATGCCGCGGGGAAGAGGACAGTCGGGGATCCCAGGAACGGATGGGAGGTCAGAAGCCCCGGCCGGACGCGCTGAGGGCCGGAGGGAGCAGGCCCCAAGGCGGAAGCTCAAGACTCACCAGGCTGACTGCGCTGACGACGGAGGCGGGGCTGACCACGTCCTTCCTGCTCCAGGCTCTTCGGGGCGCTGAGCCCCCCACTCTCGGGGCGCCTCTACCCTGCGGCCCACAGACAACGGACACCAGGGCGAGGCCATGGCGTCTATGCGCGGGCTGCGTTCTGCAGCCAATCGGCCGCCACCGCTGCTGGCTCCACCAGGCCTGACCAATCAGAGCCCCGGAGGGGCGGGACTTCTTTTTCCTGAGCCGTCCTCTGGGCATGTGAGTAGAGTCCCCAGGCTGCTGAGCGAGGTGTGAACCCACGAAGACACGCAGGTGAAGACGGACGACAGATCCAGACAGCGAGGACAGAGAGGAGCACGGATGTAACCGTGAACAGTTATAAAGCGCGGTGTAGACATTGCCAGCCCAGACCGATCGCTGGTGTAATGAACACGGGTGTACTCAACACAGGTCCAGCCTGGGCCTGCGCCCCTTCCTGGACAGGCCCTGCTCAGCACCTGCAGCTGTGCCCCGGGTTCTGCTGCCCAGACCCTGCCCGGCCACGCAGCAGGGAATCCTGCAGGGCCAGCAGGGGCCTCTTAGAGCTCCGCGTCGGCTGTGTGGGCCCTTGGGAGGCTGCAGGGATCAGCAGGTTCCCCTTGCTTACTAAAGGCAAGCAGTGGAAGGACCCAGGAAATATAGGGCCTGCAGGGAACTGGGGCACCTGGCTCATGACGTCAGAGAGACTCCTGCAAGCACTGGGTCCATAGAAGTGGGGCCGTGATCGCAGACTGAAGTTCTGGGATCCCTAAGTTATCCTTGCCAGACAGGCCCAACGAAACACGAGGTCAGCATATCACGAAAGGGCCCTCTCTGCTTCATCCACAGCTGTGCTGGAGCTGCCTCAGGTGTACTGACATTGCCACTTGTTCATGCTGCTCTCGGCCCCGGCGCCTTTTTTTTTTTTTTAAGATTTATTTTATTTCAAAGAGTTAGAGGTAGAGCCAGAGTCAGAAAGAGGTCTTCCATCCACTGGTTCACTCACCAAATGACTTCAGTGGCAGAGATGAGCTGAACCCAAGCCAGGAGGCAGATGCTTCTGCCGGGTCTCTCACACAGGTGCAGGGCACAAGGACTTGGGCCATCTTCTACTGCTTTCCTAGGCCATGGCAGAGAGCTGGATTGGAAGTGGAGCAGCCAGGACTTGAATGAGCATCCATAGGGGATGCAGGCCCTACAGGCCGGGCTTTAACCCGCTGTGCAACAGCGCCAGCCCCAGGCCCATGCTCTGAAACAGGAGTTCACACAGCTTTCCCAGGCAAGTGCCTGAGATGGGGATGTGGATTTATTGGATCGTGAGACTAAGTTTTCTGCAAGAAAATAACTTACTCCTAGAGATGGGTGCCATTCTAAACAAGGATGCACTGACCTCTATTCTCAACCCCATGACAATAATACCAGGGTGGTGCATTTATACAGGCACGGCTGACTGTGATGTGAAACTTTAGAATCATGACTTTCTCTGCAGTCTAGGTTCAGAGTAGCAAGGGGTGGTTGAGTCTTTGGAGACAACATCAGAACTGTTCCCAAGATGGTTTTGCTTTTCTTTTTAATGTTACTGTTCCTGATGTTGTACAAAAACTGTAGATTTTGGCATCTCCCACTCCCCTGCAAAAAAATCTACTTGCTGTGGCCCAAAATTGAGATTCAGCACAATAGCCACCAAAGCAGCAAGTAGCAAATAGCATTATTAAAAAGGGACAGCGTTAAGTGACTTGAGAAACTGTGACTGAGAAAATTCCTTCTTTGCTGGATACCTAATGAATGCAGGGAACTGTTCAGAACCCTTGAGATTCAGAACGGAATGCAAAGGACAAGAGGTGGAGAGGACAGAGATACAAGGTCCAGAAGGAATCACGATCATGGAGACCTACTAGGATGTAACAAAGGCCCAGTCTTTCTCCTCAGGGACCTGGGAAATCATATTAGAATTCTGCACTGACCCAGGTGAGAGGCAGTGGTGAGCAACCAATGCAGTAGCAGAAGAGAAGGGACTGGATTCTGGATATTGCTGAAACTTTCCCCAGTAAGGATTTCTGATGGGTTGGTAGGAAATGTGAGAAGAGTGCATCTGGATTGGGGGCACTGCTCAGATGGAGTTGTCACCAACTGGAGCTGGAAGGCCATGCGTGAAGCAGGTTGTTGGGAGGCAGCAGGGCAGAAAAGGAGCTACGGTTTGGACCTGGTTGGTGTGACATGTCTATTACACACCTAAGTGGAGACCAGCAGCAGCTCGGATGATATCAGGCACTCCAGTCACTCCAATGTTAGGCATTCTGGAAAAGGCAAAACCATGCAAAGAGTAAAGGATAAGTGGTGGGCACAAATGAGCAGAGCAGGAGACAGAGGAACCTGAGACAGTGGCTCTGTGCTGAACAACCTGAGACACACATTCCATATTCTTCATGTATCAGGACAGCTGCCCAGAGACATGGGATGCACCACACCCAGAGCAAATCCACCTGCAAACGGTGGACTTTATTAGGTAATGAAGCATCTGGATACCTTAGCTGTGGATATTGAACAAATAGAGCACATGATTTGGCGATTCTAACAACAGAAGGCAGTATGGGAAACAGTCTTTCTACTCAATTATTTGTAGTGCTACAAAAAATAAAATCTATTACATTTTTAAAATGCCATAGGCACAGAAAACTGACAAAAATTAAAGGAAGTGGGTCATGGCCTGGCCCTCATGGAACATCTTACAGGGGCCACCCCATCTGCTCTGGGAGAGGAGAGTCTGTCAACACCTGCCTCCCTCTTCCTGAGCACTAGGGCTTCTGGAAGGATCACTTGTCTGAGGTTGCTGTGTCCAGGAGGGTAGAGTTGAGATACAGAGGCCCAGCCCCTCCCACCCCCAACCCCAGCCCTACTCTGGTGGGCAAGACACTAGACCTGGCAATGAGCAGGCCACTCCTTGCTACTCTCTACCAACACTCCTGATCACAGAGTCAACAGCAGGGTCAACAGTGGCTGTTCTCACTATAAGCAGCTGGTCATGGGAACACATTCTTTATCTCATTGTTATCACAACCACCCCATGATGCTGGTCTCACTGACCTGACAAATAACTTGCATAGGGATATCTGAAGCTCCCAGAGACCAGGTGACTTTTCCAAGAGGCCAGAGCCAACAAAATTCCAGTTGCTATTCACACCTGACTCGTTACAATGAGAGGCCCAGTGAGTTGCTATTCAAACTTGGCTCATTACCAGAGCAACATAAGACCTGGCCCCATGTGCAAACACCACCCCCCAGAGCCAAAAGCTCCCTGCACTCCTTCGCCCTTGCTGTTCCCCAAGAACTGTGATGCCTCCTATTGCAAGTCTTCCCCACCCCACTGAGGAGCTGTGAGGGCCACTTGCCCAAAGACTCTGGCACCAACTCTCTCCGCCTGCCATTTCTATTCCCCAAGTAATTAGCCTAGGATGCTTTTTAATTTTTTTAAAAAGATGTATTTATTTATTTGAAAGGCAGATTTCCAGAGAGGCAGAGGCCAAGGAAGAGAGAGAAAGGTCTTCCATCCACTGGTTCACTGCCCCGATGGCTGCAAGGGCCAGAGCTGGGCAGATCCGAAGACAGGAGCCTGGAGCTTCTGGGTCTACCATGTGGGTACAGGGGCCCAAGCTTTTGTGTCATCTTCTACTACTTTCCCAGACCATAGCAGAGAACCCGTTGGGAAGCAAAGCAGCCCAGACTTAAACAGCACCCAGATGGGATGCCAGCACTGCAGGTGGTGGCTTTACCCACTATGCCACAGTGCCACCTCCTGGCCTGAGATGCTTTTACAAACATTGATTTATTTGAAAGTCAGTTTCGGAGACATCTTCCATCAGCTGGATCACATGGGTACATCCTACACTGCATTACAGAGGACATTAGCAGGGAGTTGGATCAGAAGTGGAGCAGCTGGGACACAAACTGGCACCCATGTGGGATGCCAGCACTGCAGTTGCTGGCTTTACCTGCTATGCCACAACACTGACCCCCACGATGCTTTTAACAAACGTTGATGAGTGCAAGCCTGAAAAACATCTTGTTTATTTTCTGAATCAAGCATCAGACAGTCCTAAGCCCAGCAGCTGGTGAGCAGCCTCACTCCATGAATAACAGGGTGGATGCAACCTGGTCCCATGTGCAGTCCGCAGGCAGGTAGAGAGCTAGTTACATTGCACCCAGAGATTCAAGGTCCGGGAGGGCCTGGGACCATGTTGTCCCAACAGCCAGGGAAACACGTGCCTGCACTGGCCTTGCGGAGAGCCAAGGCCAGTCTGTAGCAAGCTCTGTGAGGCATTGCACCAAGGAGCTGCCTGGCATATGTACGAAGAACTGAGTTCTTGGCTGTGGTAGATCTTAAATCACAGCGGCACGGTGACAGACATTCATGTACATGACACATCAGTCACAGCTGGGGTGCCCTGGCAGGGCCTGTGGTTAACCATGCATAGACTGGCAACTGGGAGGGCTCAGCTTATGGTTCTTCCTCTCCTTTGCAGTGCTGCTGATGTGGGACTCTGAGCTCTGACTCCATGTGGAGAGAGCTGCAGGCTCGTGCCCCTGCCACCTTGTGAGGTGTCCCCTGCTGGTCGCTCTCCCATGAGGAGCTGCATACAGAAGTGTCCTTCCATGTAGTCCTGCAGATCAACAGCAGCTTGTCCCGATGAACTCAAGGCAGGTCACGAGGGAACATCCTGGTCACAGGTGGCTCCAGGACAGGTGTGGAGTTAGTGTGGGAAGGTCAGGGTACCCAGGTGCCGAGTCCACTGGCCCTTCACACACCTGTCCAAGGGCCTCACCTGTGAGCTAGGAATTTGCTGACCATGGGGCCATCATCCTGCTGTGTCCCTGAGATGGGACAGCACCTCAGGCCTGCTCCATCCCTACAGGCAGGAGCCCTGTGGAGGCTGGGCAGAGACCGGTTTTATTTTCTAGGCAAGAAGACACAGACCTGGGTCCTCACACCTTCACTGCCCAGGAAGCACCTGGGCTTGGTTAATCGGCAGGTCACCAGCACGTCAAGTGCTGACCAGTCAGCACCTCTGGGCTTCTCACTTCTCAGGTAATTCCAGGCAGAAAGCAGGCCCCAGAGCTGGGCTTCCTCAGCCCTCTGTCCTTAGCCCACTCTCCTCCATGCCCACCCTCCATGAGGAGGGTTGGCTGGGGGATGGAGCCCTACACACTTGCCAGGATCCAGGGTCTCTGCCTCCCATGGGCCCTGCACTTCCAGGGATCTGGACCCAAGAGCCTCACAGGCCTCTCAGGCCCATGTGCACTAAAGGAATGACGCCCTCTCCCCAGGACAGCAACGTCAAAGAAAAGGCTTGTTTGGCCCCATTCCCCACACAGGTTAAAGACCCCTCTGTGCTCTGAGTAGTGCTAGAAAGGAGCAAGGACAGGGACCTGCACACACCTGTAATCCTTCTGGGGTCCATTCCACCCTCACTCGTGCAGGATCCAAGGAGGCATTTGCATCTATGCCCCACCCCATTCAGTCCTACTGTGGACCCTGTCACCAGCTCCTTCCTGCACCATGGACACTGCAGCTGAGATGGGGGAGGTGAGCTCCCTGGGGCTTCTCTTGCTGCCTGGGGGTCTCTTAACCAGGGGCCTCACTCTCGGTGCCGGCACAGTACAGCACAGTGCTGGGTCTCAGGAGGCCCCATCGTCACTCTCACGGGGCACCATTCATTTCCCACTGGTAATGCACCTTTGTGGGTGGTGTGTCCTCAGGGTAGGGTGAGGAGCTCAGGTCTCTTTGTCTGCAATGCCTGATAGTATGGTAGAGCTCAGCCAGAGGCACAGGGTCTGAGGAGCCTCGAAGCTGCCAGTTGCTTCTTAAATCAGCAGATGTCCTGACAGAACCTGAGGCCAAGCAGGGCCACAGGCAGGATCTACCCAGCTGGGAACATTTGCAATGTGTGCTCTCCCTCCAGCTTCACCCACACTGACGTTCCCCAGTTGTAGCCAGGTGGCTGAGGGCATGAGGAAGCAGACCCCAGAAAGGCTGCACCACAAGCACAGTGGAGAGGAAGTTCATCAAGAACACATTTCCCTGGTGGGCTCTGAAACCTGGAAAAGTTTAATCTGTCATCTTTGCTAAACATGCATTTTAAATGAGAATGGAGGAACATGGCTGTTGCATAGCAGGTTAAACCTCTGCCTACAGTGACAGCATCCCACATGGGTGCTGGTTTGAGACTTGGCTACTCCACTTCCAACCCAACTTTCTGCTATGGCCTGGGAAAGCAGTAGAAAATGGCCCCAAGTGTTTGGGCCTCTGCACCCATGTGGGAGACTCAGACGAAGCTCCTGGCTCCTGGCTTTGGATTGGTGCAGCTCCGGCCATTGTGGCCATTTAGGGAGTGAACCAGAGGATGGAAGACC